CATCAGGGGCTCTGTCAGTATCAGATGCCCTGCTGTAGTCACTCGATTCTTTATCAAACTGATGGTGCATGTTTGCTCTTCTGTGGTTCCTCTCTTGAGCAAAGACTGGATAAGAATTTCTTACTAAAAATTTAAAATTAAATGCATAACTAGAAATTATATGGAGCTATAAAGGGAATATGGATTTGGAGAGCTAGAAAAAAATAAAAGCAGGCAAGCAACTGGGAGTAGTTTATAAAGTTTGAAGGGTCAAGTGTCTCACCCAGTTGAGACCTTGGAGAATGAGAAGGTCTTCAAAGGACTTAGAGTGATGTCAGCAATATATCAGGATAGCAGATTCCAGTTGTCACATACACACACACACACACACACACACACACGCACACGCACACGCACACGCACACGCACACGCACACGCACACGGGAACAGAGAAAAGATGATCTCAGGGTTCATGGATCCCCACCCATTGCAGGATCAAGGGTACAAAAGCAAGCTCATTTAAAAGATTTTTACCTTGAGAACAACATGCCACTGGGGAATCCTGCTGTCACAAGGCCACACACAAAGTTGTTTCTTCAGGATTACTTTCATCATGTGCAGTCACCCAGGTATTCAGAGGACAGTGCATCCATGGTCCAAGACAGCTTGCTACCACTCACGTTTGTGACAGACCATGGTATCATCCATGTTATTTGGGTTTTCTGGGCATGCAAAAATGAAAGAATTATGGAGTCATGAAAACTTTACCCATATTCTAAAGGAAAGCCTGTAGCAAAGCAATGTATAGCAGGATTGGACTCCCTGGAACCAGTCCCTGAAAGAGTAATGTGTGAAACTGGGAAAGTGAAGCCAGAGATTCAATAAAGATCCTAGGATTCTGGGGATGCCAGAAACATGGGGAGTCAGCTGAGGAATGCCATCGAATAGAAGTTATCCCAAGAAAATGACATATGGACTGTATCCAGCAAGGCCATAGATGGAAGGCTACTCAAATCCACTGTCACTCACACACCAGCCCATGTGCCCTGGATGCAACTGGCATGTAGCTACACAACTTAGTATTTCCCCTCTGGATTTTGGTCTTGCTATGGTTCCATTCCTCCTTTTTCTGCCCCTATTCTTCCTTTATGAAAGAAACTTTATTAAGTTTGTTCTTTGTTAATTTCAAATATGTATATAGGGCACTCGAATCACTACTAACCCCACCTCCCCAAACCCTCCGGAATCACTTTGACCTGCCTTCTCCCTACAAGTCCCTTTCTCCAATTCATGTCTTTTTGCTTTGTTTTCTGACTCTGAGTTTAGCCAGGGCCATTTGTGTGATCATGGATTTGGAGCTATCCTTTGGAGCTGGTGACTCATCAGTGGGTACCTTATTGAAAACAATATTTACTCCTCACCCACAATTCAAGTTGTCCCAATCTTGCAACACAGTACAACGGCCTTGAAAGTCTCTGGTTGTTTTGTCTATCAGCCTTCTCTGCTCCCACCATAGAACTATCTGAGCTGATCCTGCAAGTCACCGGTCTTCCAAGCCCACAGACATATCCTAGTAGCCTTGTCATTCTCTAGGTACTTAAACCACCATTCCCATATCCCTCCCCCAGCTATCTAGTTGCTGCCTCTACAGTGTTTGACCCCAGAAGCATGGCTTCTATACATGTGACCACAGCAGACCCACCACCCCCATCCTCCTGCACTCAAGGCTGATCCCTGCAGACCGGTGGGCTACAGCATGCTTCAGCTCTCGCTGTGTGCACACACATCTCTAACTACACCCCCACCTGCCTATACACATTCAAGGCCCAACCCCAGTAGCATCTTACTTTTACATAGACAAACATCAAAATATAAGACTAGAAATAATAAAACTCTTTAAGAGAAGACACAATGCATTCTTGATGGGACACCAAAAGCACACGTTACTGAAGCTAAGTAAGGTAAATATTGGTAAATTGTCATGTGCTATTTAAGCTTATTGAAAGTGGACTCTGGGAGTGAAGACCTTCCACTGTTTCTTCTAACCCCCTTGCTCTGGATCAGGCAGTAAGGGGAAATGGCTGTCACCTCACATTAACAGAGACAAGTGACAAGAAGTGGGAAGGGGTTGGAGAAGGGGAATGCCACAATACTCTTGGTGATGTACATTGATGTAGACATCATAGGAAGCAGAATGGGAATGCAACCAATAGCACAAGCATACAACCTTCAGGAAATAAAGGTAGTTTAATAAGGAGGTTAATTAGTACACCAAATCAACATAAATCCAAGTTCAGTTTGCTTGTCCTTTTGACCCATTTCCATGTAAAGTAACTTGAAAATTGGCCAGAAAACTGGAAACGTGTAAGAACAGAAACCTAGTTATGCTGCATGCACCTACACAATAAAATACTACATAGCTAGTTCAAGGACTTAGGTCTACAATTAACATGTAACATTGAAATCACAATATAGACTCCCATTCATGTACACATGTGAATCCAGAAGTATACAAGGGAGGGACATAATGAAAATCGTCACAACAATTCTTTTGTGGTTATGCACTAAAAAGTGATTTCCTTTATAACTTTTCAGACGGCCTGAATTTTCCTATAATACATCTGCATTACCTTTTATAATTAGAAAAATAAAGCTATTTGAATGCTCAAACTTGTTTTCACATCTGAAAGGTCATGGATACTTTTTCTAAGAAAAGAAGTCACAGGACTTCCTAACAATTAGAATAGAAAACTTGATGCAAGCTGTGTTGTGTGCTCCTTGGTTATTTTGTCAGCCTAACACAGGCCAGAGTCATCTGGAAAGAGGGAGCCTCAGTTAAGAAAATGACCCATCAGATTAGCCTGTAGGCAATGCTACCCCTGGGCTTGATGGTCCTGGGTTTATATAATAGAGCAGACTGAACAAGCCAGTAAGCAGCAATCCTCCAGGGGTTCCTACCCCTGTTCCTGCCCTGGCTTCTCTCCATGATGGACTACATAGTCTGTAAGATAAAATAAACCCTTCCCTTCCCAAGTTGCTCACAGTGTTTATTGCAGCAGTAGAAAGCAAACCAGGAAGGCAGTAAATGTCCATAAAGCTATGAGTGCCTTGAGGCAGGAACTCACAACGAAATGTTCTCCCCAACAGCTGCTAGAAGCAGTTGGTACCAAGCCTGCACCAGGAGCCAGATGTTATCTGCCAGCCTTCTCCACAAACATCGTGTAGAGACGGGACCCTGCCAAACAGCTGAGGCCGCAAGCCCGTGGAAGACATGTGACACAGGCATAGTCATTGCCAGGGCATGGTTACCATGCCCCCTGCTGAGCAGCTGTCTGGTGGTTAATCAAGTCCTCTTTTTAATTGCTTTAAAGTGATCTAAATTGCTGAGCTTTTTCAGTTATTATTAGAAATTAATCTGTAGCTCTCAATTAAATCCAATTACTGCTTATTTCCCCTGAACAGTAAATGGTAAACATCAAGAGTGTCTCTGGGTTTCTCATTGACAAATTTCTAATTTCAAATTCTCTAATGGAGAATAAAAGACAGGTATAAAAACAGGCTTGTTTGTGAATTTACATGGTGAAAAGATGTAATGAGAGCTATTCTAGAAAGGTGAAGACCATAGGCATGGGAGATGACTGTGAATTAAAATTCCAGCTCTGACACTTAACTGTGTGACCGGAAAAGTGACTTGGCATTTCTGTGGCACAATCCTAGTATCTGAAGAACAGGCATCAAATGGACCTCACAGGACAGGATGGCATATGAGGATTTCACGGAAGCTGCTTTTAGCAGCACCTGGCATATAATAAATACCCAGTGAATGCTAAGAATTACACTGAATGTACAAGGTGTGTATGCATGCATGTGTACACGTGCGCGCACACACACACACTCACACGAACCTGTTAATAAAGTCAGCTCAGGAGACTAGAAAACCTGACTTAGGTCACCTCAGGTGATGAATCTGGCCTCTGGGCTTTTGTTACAAATGCCTGTGATCACCAGTGCAGCCCTCCGAGACTGATGAACACTTGTATGTCAGCATCCGTCATGCAATCAGAGCCCAAACTCTGCTCCTGACACTACTTGTTGTCTGATCCTAGACAAGTCACTTGTGACTCCCCTTCTCTGCAAAGGGGAGCAATAGCTGACTCATCTTTGTATGGCAGGGTTGTTGTGGACTCTGCTGTGCCACAGCATGTGACAAGGTTAAGTCCAGGGCTGTTCTGTAAACCTAAGTGATTGGACACTCAGCCCAACAGATCATGCTACTCCCTCAGCATCCACAATGGGCCTGCTTGAAAACCTACCTGCCCATGTGTGACAGCAGACAAAGCTTGATGTGGGCTGTTTTATGAACTTGACACTAGGCAAGAAGGTTTTCTAGTCTTGGGCTGTAAAAAGGATGAACCATCTTTGAATCAGTGGCTAGTAAGGGGCCACACCCCCACCTGCTGGCACTGATCTACTACCATCATCTAAGGACCCTGCCTGGGACCCCAGGTCAGCCAAGGGGCGCAGGAGGAGTTTGTGCTGAAGTCCATGCTTGAAAAGCAATTAACATAAAAAATAACCATAGACTTTAATGAACACAGCATGTCATGTTTATTGGGCTGTTCACAGGTAAGCTTAAAACAGGTAAAGACTGGATTCCATCAAAACCTCAAGAAACAAAATCTTTAGCTTTCTTAGCTGCAAAGGGTGCATTCCACTGCAGCTAAGGACTACACGGGCCATTTGTTCACATATCTGTAATGGGCGCAATTTACTTTTTTTAGCAACAGGAAGCAAATACATTTAACCAATGACTTTTTAGAACAAGAAGAAAACTATCTTTATGAGTTAGGACAAAGGAATCAGTTATACAAATTAAATTGATACAAAATACATTATAAAGAAAACACACATACAAAAGTGATGAAGTGGGCCAGAGAGTGAGGATGTCACAGAACACCACACTGAGAGAACACTGGGTGCAGATTCATTTCAGTTATGAAATCAGGTCCAAAAGACACATTTACCGAGGTAAAGGCACAATGACTTCCACGTAATTAATAGGGAAGAAGCCGGACTCCCCACGCAGCATTCCTTCATACCAGTTTTCATCTATCTGATTGGTTAATGTAATGATGTCCCCTTCTTTAAATCCTAATTCTCCTTCGTTTTCTGGCTCAAAGTCATAGAGACCACGACAGCAGGGTTGGTCCTTGGGAATCTGAGTACCTGTCCATGTGATACGGAGACAAGACAAAAAGTACAGGTTAACATGACAATCACCCAGGGCAACAAGAAATGGGGGAGGAGCCCGTGCCTGCTCTTGGCCCACCCCAAAGCTGGCGTCCATTGCTCTCAGGTACTGCTTGTGGTCCCTGGCCTCCTCCAGCCTCCTCAGCTTTCCAGCTGCCTCAGGCAACTCCCTGTACCCAGTACCTGTCTTCCCAGTCCTCTGAGGAAGAGGACGCATGCCCAGCCCACCTCCACTCAACTTGGCCCAGAGCCCAAGGGGAAAAGCAAATCACAAGGCCCCAGTCCTGTCTCCAGAACACTCAAGACTTTCCTTGTGGTGAAGGGATGGTACTCGGGAAAGGACAAAGTTGAGGTGGTGTGTTATACAAGCCTAGGAGTGCTGAGGTGGTGACATGGGGACAAGAAGAGAGGAGCAGAACAGGACCATGAGTATTCACAGAGCAGACTAATGTGGTCAAGCCTGGAGTTCTCACATCTATCTTCCCCCCAAAACTAAAAAATGGTCACTATAAAAGAGAAAATGTGTAGGCAGATTTGGGACAAGTCAACTCTAACTCACTGACTGAGAGAAAATCAGCATGAAGCCTGTGAATGCCAGGTGTCTATATGAATACATATATGGGAATATATTTCCATATATTTGCTTTCATTAAATAATATTCTTGTACTTAGTACTGTGAACCTGACCCCACACATGACCACTGGCTACTGGCCAGCTCCCACCTGTACCAGTTCCCCTTTATTGTTGGCGTCTATCATGGCCAGTCTGTTCTGAGCACACCTGGTCTTATGGAACCTGTAATTTGACTTTGCAGCCCTCCCTCCCTTCCTTCCTCATCTCCTTTCCTTCTTCCTCTCGTCTTCCAGCCTTGCTTCTTTCTATCTTTTCTCATCTCTCCTCTTCCCTGCTCCCACCTCCCTTCATCCTTCCCTCCCACCCTCTTTCCTCTTTCTGTTTCTTTTAGTCTTTCTCAGCTTTGAGATACAAGTCTGAAGACAGTAACATGTACCTCTCTTGACATACACACACCAACATCTGCACTTTTTCCTAAGAGTAGAGTGACTGCCTAGAACAGGATTTGATCGTCATAGAACATGAAGTTTGCCAAGATGCTTGACATTTGCTATCAATTTAATACTCTATCTTTATCTTAACAAATCAGAAGCCCTCATATAATCCAAACACTGGCCTTCTATTGTCAAATGGTACAAAGTATTCCCAGCTTCCCATCTCTTTATATGTTTTATTTTTTACAGTTTGTGCTGGCAACTAGGCAAGTTGTAGGTTTTCTATTTTGCTTTGGAATATATAATTTCAGGACAGTAAAGGAGGGTAAATGAAGCTATCCATTTATACATTATCCTCCATGGCCACATATGATTATTAAACAGAATTTCCTTATAATTTCTTTATTTTTATTTTATGTGCATTGGTATTTTACCTGCATATATATCTGTGTGAGAATTAGGAAAACCCCTTGAGTTATTGACAGTCTTGAGCTGCCATACTGGTGCTGGGAATTAAACCCAGATCCTCTAGAAGAGCAGCCAATGCTCTTTTTTTTTTCTCTCCATTTTTTTTACTTATATTAGAAACAAGATTGTTTTATACGCCAATCCCCGTTCCCTCTCCCTCCCCTCCTCCTCTGCCCCCACTAACACCCTACCTATCCAATACCATTTCTGCTCCCCAGGGAGAGTGAGGCCTCCCATGGGGGGGGCAGTTCAGAGTCTATAATACCCTTTGAGATAGGGCCTAGGCCCTCCCCCATGTGTCTAGGCTGAGGGAGTATCCCTCTGTGTGAAATGGGCTCCCAAAGTCCATTCCGATGCTAGGGATAAGTACTGGTCTACTACAAGAGGCCCCATATATTTATGAGGCATCCTCACTGACACCCAAATTTATGGGGTCTGGATCAGTTCCATGCTGGTTTCCCAGCTATCAGTCTGGGGGACAAGAGCTCCCTCTTGTTCAGGTCAGCTGTTTCTGTGGGTTTCACCAGCCTGGTTTGGCCCCTTTGCTCATCACTCCTCCTTCTCTGCAACTGGATTCCAGTTCAGTTCAGTGTTTAGCTGTTGGTCTCTGCTTATACTTCCACCAGCTTCTGGATGAAGGCTCTAGGATGGCATATAAGTCAGTCATCAATCTCCTTATCAGGGGAGGACATTTAAGGTAGCCTCTCCACTGTTGCTTGGATGGTTAGGTGGTATTATCCTTGTAGATCTCTGGACAATTTCCTAGTGCCTGATTTCTCTTTAAACCTATACTGGCTCCCTCTCTGATGGTATCTCTTATGTTGCTCTCCTCTCTTCTTCCTCCCACACAAACTTCCTGCTCCCTCATGTCCTCCTCACCCCTACTCTTCTCTCCTTCTCATTCTCCTAGCTCCTTCTCCCCTCTCCCTATGCTCCCAATTTGCTCAGGAGATCTTGTCCCTTTCCCCTTCCACAGGGGACCATGTATGTCTCTTTTAGAGTCCTCCCTGTTGCCTAACTTCTCTATTGGTGTGGATTGTAGGCTGGTAATCCTTTGCTCTATGTGTAAAATCCACATATGAGTGAGTGCATACCATGTTTATCATTTTGTGGCTGTCTTTGTGTGACTCACTAGGTTTCTCCTAGTTCCATCCATTTGCCTGCAAATTTCAAAATTCCATTGTTTTTTTTTTCTGCTGAGTAGTACTCCATTGTATAAATGTACCACATTTTCTGTATCCATTCTTCAATTAAGGGGCATCTAGGTTGCTTCCAGGTTCTGGCTATTACAATTAATGCTGTTATGAACATAGTTGAACAGATATCCTTGTTGTATGAACGTGCTTCTTTGGGGTATATGCCTAAAAGTGGAATTGCTGGATCTTGTGGTAGACTGATTCCCATTTTCTTGAGGAGTCACCATGCAGATTTCCAAAGTGGCTTTACAAGTTGGCCCTCCCACCAGCAGTGGAGGAGTGTTCCTCTTTCTCCGCATCCTCTCAGCATAAACTGTCATTGGTGTTTTTGATTTTAGCCATTCTGACAGGAGAAAGATGGTATCTCAGAGTTGTTTTGATTTGCATTTGCCATTTTAGAGTCCTCTATTGAGAATTCTGTACCCCACTTTTAATTGGATTATTTGGTGTTTTGGAAACTAGCTTTTTGAGTTCTTGTAAATTTCCGAGATCAGCCTTCTGTCAGATGTGGGCTGCTGTTTTGTCTTGCTGACTGTGTCCTTTGCCTTACAGAAGCTTCTCAGTTTCAGGAGCTCCCATTTATTAATTGTCAATTTCAGTGTCTGTGCTATTCAGGTGTAATGTTCGGGAAGCTGTCTCCTGTACCAATTCGTTCAAGGGTAGTTCCCCAGTGTGATTGGATTTATATTGAGGTCTTTCATCCATTTGGACTTAAGTTTTGTGCATGGTGATAGACATGGATATATATCTGAAGTCTTCTACATGCCAGCATCCAGTTATGCCAGCACCATTTGTTGAAGATACTTTCTTCATTCCATTCTATATCTTTAGCTTCTTTGTCAACAATCAGGTGTTCGTAGGTATGTGGGTTCATATCAGAGTTTTCAATTTGATTCCATTGGTCTACCTGTCTCTTTTTGCGCCAATACCAAGATGTTTTCAGGACTATAGCTCTATAATAGAGCTTGAAGTCAGGGATGGTGATGCCTCCAGAAGTTCCTTTATTGTACAGGGTTATTTTGGCTATCCTGGGTCTTTTATTTCTCCCTATAAAGTTGAGTATTGTTCTTTCAAGGTCTGTGAAGAATTGTGTTGGGATTTTGATGGGGATTGCATTGAATCTGTAGATTGCTTTTCACAAGACTGCCATTTTTACTGTGTTGATCCTACCTATCCAAGATCATGGGAGATCTTTCCATTTTCTGTTTCTTTAATTTCTTTCTTTTTCTTGCTATACGGGTCTTTCACTTGTTTGGTTAGTGTTATCCCAAGATATTTTATGTTGTTTGTGGCTATTGTAAAGGGTAATATTTCTCCGATTTCTTTCTCAGCCAATTTATCATCTGTATATAGTAGGGCTACTAATTTTTTTGAGTTAATCTTGTATCCTGCCACTTTGCTGAATGTGTTTGTCAGCTGTAGGAGGTCCCTGGTAGAGTTTTTTGGGTCACTAATGTAGGCTATCATGTCATCTGCAAATAGTGAAAGTTTGACTTCATCCTTTCCAATTTGTATCCCTTTGATCCCCTTTGCTTGTCTTATTGCTATAGCCAGAACTTCAAGTACAATATTGAAGAGATATGGAGAGAGTGGACAGCCTTGTCTTGCTCCTGATTTTACAGGAATCACTGAGTTTTTCTCCATTTAGTTTGATGCTGGTTGTTGGTTTACTATATATTGTTTTTATTATGTTCAGGCATGTTCTGTTATCCCTGATCTCTCCAGGACCTTTATCATGAAAGGGTGTTGGATTTTGTCAAAGGCCTTTTCAGCGTCTAGTGAGATGATCATGTGGTTTTTCTTTTTCAGTTTGTTTATATGGTGGATTACATTGATGGATTTTCGTATGTTGAACCAACCCTGGATCCCAAGGATGAAGCCTACTTGATCATGGTGGATGATTTTTCTGATGTGTTCTTGGATTCGATTTGCTAGTATTACATTGAGTATTTTTGTATTAATGTTCATGAGGGATATTGGTCTGTAGTTCTCTTTCTTAGTTGTGTCTTTGTGTGGCTTGGGTACCAAGGTAATTGTAGCCTCATAAAAAGAGTTTGGCAATGAACCTTCTGCTTCTATTGTGTGCAACAATTTGAGGAGTATTGGTATTAGCTCTTCTTTGAATTTCTGGTAGAATTCTGCACTGGGCTCTTTTTTGGATGGGAGACTTTTGATGACTGCTTCTATTTTGTTAGGGGTTATGGGTCTGTTTAGGTTGCTCAACTGTTCTTGATTCAATTTTGGTAAGTGATATCTGTCCAGGAAATTGTCCATTTCCTTTAAATTTTCCAATTTTGTGGAGTA